AGATCTGTGGAGTTCATCCCAACCACCAAACTGATGTACATTTCCAAGAATCCCTCAGGATCTGGCAGTGCAGGAAGAGGCTTTCTTGGATCCTGGAGGATGCTCCTCTCCTGGGGCTGCCAGAGTCAATTTTGGGTAACACCAGGCACTACCAGGCAGGGCTGGGATGATCTCCCACAGCCAGGTGCAGCAGCTGGGATGAGTTCCTCAATTCCCTCCGGCTCAGTTGAATCTCCCAGCCAGTTTTTTGGGGTCTGAAGCCCACGAGGAGCCTTCCCAAGGCTGGTTCCCCTCTGGAGGTGGGTGCAGGAACGTTCAGCCAGAAGTTCCCAACTTCATTCCATGTCCCAGCCGTCGAGCAGTGATGATGTGAGTGTGGCCTTGGTGATTTAGCAGATGGATTTGGCAGGCAGATTCCTGGCAGTGCAAGGCATTGTGGGTTAATCTTCCTATCCAGAGGAGCAGGAGGGGGTTTGGAGGAAGCAGCCCAGTCTGATTTGGAGCTATTTGGCATAATTTGTAATGGTGATGTAGCCGGGAGAAATGAAATCGGGGGGTGGGGTCAGAATTGGCTGCTCATTTTGTGTGAAAAATTCCAGGAATTAAATGGAAAGAAGGTTGAAAATCTGCAGTATGATAACTGAGCAGTGCAGGGAGGTATTAAAGGTACAACTGTTCTGTGGAATTTAGTGGAATTTTCCCCATTTTACATACAGGAACCAGTCCTGAAGCGAAGTGAACAACATTGAGACAGGAATGCTGTGATAAGTTTTCATGGAAAAGGGTTTTCCTTTTTGCTTGGGAAGTTTTCCATAACTTTAGGCAATCACAAAGTGCATTTAGCCTGCTGGAACCATTGGTGGGTATTCCCTTAATAGTGCCTGGAAGAGACTTCTCATTTTCAGTGGATTCCCAGTGTCCTGTTGGATTTGCCAGGTGAGGTGTGAGTGGAATGCTGATTGCAGACGCACAGGAATGTCTCCAGATGTGGAAATCTGGAGAATTCTTAACAAACTGCTCTGGTTGCACAAGTACCCGAGGCGTGCAGGAGTTCAGGGTGAGCTGTGAGGAGGTGCCCTCAGCAGCAGTGTGTGGAATTTATCAACCAAAGGGAATGATTCTCCTGTCCTGTGTTTTTGTACCCACCCTGAGGCGTTGCCACATGTAATCAATGAAGTTGTACACGGCTATTTCTTAGCCTGTGATGCACATGCAGTTCACAGACATAAATAATAGAATTTGTGGGCTGAGACATTTTGCACTTCTCCTTGCACAGAAGGAGAGAGAACATTTTCTGCTTCTTGTAATTTGCACTTTGTGTGTTCGAATATATTACTGCCAAAAAAAAAAAAATTATATTGCAACTAATTGATAAGCCAGTGACCATGCTCCACGTGCAGGCCAAGGCAGAGAATTCAGTTTGCACCACGCTTGTCTGGGTGGGGGTGTTCTGGTTTGTTTAAAACTTCATTTCTGCGCAAGGGAAAAAGCAATTAAACCTCCTGATTGTATGTTTACGTAGATCAGTAAAATGAGACGTTTTATGACTTCAAAGGTTCTAAATAAAGCTCGGTTGCATAAGTAGTTGTGCATTTGTTTTATTCTGTATTTTAATTTAAGTCAGTGTTCAAAGCTGTTGCCTGCCCTGATATCCAGTTTAAACCTCCTCTGGCAAAACTTTTCCTCTGTTTCCTCTTGTCCTAAGGGTTCTCCTGCCCTGGTTTGAGGACTTGGGGGGCACAGCCTTCACTTTAGAAGGGCCATGTGCTGTTCACCGTCCTTCCATCAGCTTCCTCACCTGAGAAGAGACCTGGAACAACCTGCTCTGGGCAGTGACAGCACCAGGAGCCAGCTCAGGGCTCTGGGCATTTCTTGGCCAATTCATACCCAGGTTATGATGTGCTGGTGGTGGGGCTGGTGGGGCCAGCAGGTCAGCCTGGAGGGGTGAGGAACTCCACCTCATTATCCTGCAATGAGGAATCACTGTAATGCCCCTAAATTCCCTGTAATTAATCCCATGGCAATTACCACCCTGGAAATGTGACATCCATAGGGCCTGTGGAGGTAAAGTGATTATGCCAGGGTGGAGCAGTTAATATCCCTCTGCCTGAAAGCACTGGAGTGAATTAATTTAGTGTCACACGTGTATAAAACATCAGTTTTTACAGTTGTGCTGAGCGTGGATGCATAATTCCATTATTGTCTTTCTCCACATGTCTGCATATCTGGTTTGATGTCCTGGTTAAACACTGCCATGGTCATTGTCACCCCTCTTAGTGGGGTTTGTTCCCCAAAATGCACATTCCTGTGATAGCTGCACCTCCTAGGATGGCAGCAAATGAGAGAGATCTGTGTTCTGCAGCATCCCAAATGGAAAAGGAACAAGGGTCACCCTGACTTTGCTTTTAGCCTTTTCCAGGTGGGCTCTGAGGGCTCTGCTGCCTTCCCAAGTCTGGTGGGGGTGAAGCAGAGTTTACTCCCAATTCCTGTGCAAAAAGGGAAAAAATGCAGTGGTAGCATAAACTCTTTATTCCCTCTTTATTTAGGATCACAGAATCCCAGAATGGCTTGGGTTGGGACTGACCTTAAAGCTCATCCCATTCCACCCCAGACAGGGACACTTTCCACCACCCCAGGTTGCTCCAAGCCTGATCCAGCCTGAGGGATTCCTGAGCAGTTAAAGAGCTCATGATAAATGTTATGTTTTCCAGGGCAGATATTTCCACATATGGGTTTACAGTCCCCTTTTGAGAAGGATGAGAAAATCAAGGTAAAGATTCCTGGTTCTGGGTCTGCAAGGTGGGCACAGGAGCAGGGCTGGCTGCTGGCACATCCTCATGGACCCACTCCAGAGCCCCGGCAGGGAAAGCTGCCCAGGCCCCAGCACGGCTCTGAGCGTTGTGCTCTGGATGCTTTTTCTGCTGAAATGGCACTAGATGGAGCAGTTGACAAAATCTTGCATTTCTGCAGCCTTCTTGCAGGGCTGGAGGCCCAGCCAGAGGAGCTGCCCCCAGGGATGTCTGAGCATCTTCTCAGCCCAGCCCAGCAAAGACAAACTCCCAAACTGTGAGCTGGCTCTCTCCCTGTGACCAGGGGGTGCTGCAAAGAGGACACACCTGGGCACAGTGACAGGAGGCTTCTAGAAAAGGAAATCACGGCCTGTCTCGCTCCTGCTGATAAATGCATTCCATCCTGGCAAAACCAGGGCAAGTTGGCCCTTCCACACCGAGCTGTGGGTTCAGGACAGGGCCCAGCTTGGCCCCACAGACCCCAGAGCAGAGCAGCAGTCAATAATCTGCCCCTGCAGAAAGAAATCTGCCTCTGCAGCTGAGAGTTTTGTTTCTTCTAAGAACATTAAATTCTGCTGAGAGCTGCTGCACTGGCACTGCCCATGCTGCTCATGGGGCAGGTTCTGGCTGATAACCACCTCAAGAGGAGATGTTTCTCTTTGGATGGATCCTGGAATGGTTTGGGCTGGAAGAGACCTTAAAAGATCATCCAGTTCCATCCCCCTGCCATGGCAGGGACACTTTCCACTGTCCCAGGTTGTTCCAGCCTGGCCTGGGACACTTCCAGGGCAGCCACAGCTGCTCTGGGCACCCTGTGCCAGGGCCTGCCCACCCTCCCAGAGAATTTATCCCTGATCTCTGATCCATCCCTGCCCTCTGGCAGTGGGAAGCCATTCCCTGTGTCCTGTCCCTTGTCCCCAGTCCCTCTCCAGCTCTCCTGGAGCCCCTTTAGGCACTGGAAGGAGCTCTGAGGTCTCTCTGAAGCCTTCTCCATGCTCAGCCCTCTCACCCTGTCAAGGCTGAGCAAAGTGGTTTTGCCTGAGCTCTGAGGTGCTCCAGATGAGACCCTCAGAGTCCCCTCTCCTCTCCTTCCAGCAAAAGAAAGGGACACACTGGAAATGCCCATAAGGAGAGTGGAAAAATCGTGTTCAGCCGAGCTCCTCATCATTCTTTCCCCTCAGAGCTGATGGGCTGCTGGATGCTGAGCCTGTGAAGATCATTAGATTAATTCCTTTCCTTGCTGTGACTTAATTGTCTCCATTTGTCCTGCGCAGTGCTCGCACTGGGGGTGTGTTTCTCCTTGCCTATATTTAGTTTGATCTCTACAGTGATATTGGAATATATAAATTAAGGCTGGCTCTGGCTCTTTGTGGCACTGAGATCCCACAGATGGTTTTCTGTGCAGTCTGGTGCTTTGACAGCAGGAATTTTGGGCTCTGGGAGATGCCCATCAATCAATCGTTGATCCCTCAGGGTCCACATGAGCAGAGGAGCTGCTCCAGGGGCTCATCCTGGGGGAGCTGCTCCTCCCTGGGGAGATGATTTGAAGGGCAGAGAGGAATTATGAGGCACAGGAATGAAAATCAACATCCTGGGGATGCATTAAGCAGCCTGGGCTGCAGGGATGGGAACAGGAGGGAAAGGGGCATTGGAGGGGCCAGGGGGAGGCAGCCAACTCTGTGGTGCCTCCCTGCAGAGCTGCAGCACGCCCCAAAAAGAACCTCCCTGGCCCCAAATCGAGGAGGAGGAGGCACTTCCCAAAGCCACCCTGATGATTAGCAGAAAATCTCTCACATTCTGCTGAAGCTGGAACTTCCACCTTCCTCAGGGAAGCAGCAGGAAAATTCCTCTCTGCAAGTGTGGGTCCAGAGCTGTCAGGGAAAAAAACTCAGTGCAAACTGTCAAAAAATTGTGTTATGGCTCTTTGTGTTTGCAGCTGGGCCCGTGCTGGCTTTTGTAAACAAACTGGGGGAATTCCTGCAAAAAATATCCTACCTTGTCATATCCGTGCAGGGAGCCCTCTGGGGATGTGGGGGGTGTCACTGATCTGAAGAAAAACCTCAAAAATGGCTGGTTTGGTGCTGTGCAGGTGTGGGAAGTCACCCCAGAAAAGCCACAGCCATGGGGACAGGAACACACACAGGGAAAGGTTTAATTCATTTTATTTGTACATAAAGGAGGCATTTTGGGTTACAGATTTAAAAAAAAAAAAAAAAAAAAAGGCAGATAGGAGTTTGAGATAGTGAATGCTCTGGACTGAAAATATGAAGAAAGGAAAGAAAATTGAGCAGATGGCAGATTTCCATGGAAAACAGAGGTCAGGGCTGTTCTCCCCTCCCTGCAAGGATGGGGGCACAAGGCAGCTCAAGAAACATTTTGTCAGGATGTGAACTGACTGAACAACAACCAGAGTGGTCCAGAATTTACTTCTGCTTACAAAAAAAAAAAAGAATAATTAGCTAATCAGGGAGATCTGGGTGTGCTCCACCAAAGCCAAGGGAGAGCACCCACTGGGTCCTGATGCAGCAGAACAAGGATGCTGGGGCCTCTGTCAGCAGAGGGATTTAAGAAAAAACCCAGATTTGAGGTGATGCTGGACCCTGTGGGTGCTCCATGGTGGGGGAGACCCAGTTCCAGCTCCTAAATCATGGCTTGGCTTTACAGGAGGAGTTTGGGAATATTAAAATTGAGCAGAGGCAAAGCAAGGAGCAAACACTGCTCCTCCAAAAGGCAAAGCCACTCCACAGAGCTCTTGGACAACATCACCACACCCTGGGATGGGAATCTGCTGGGATCTCCCCGTGCTTGGAATGCCCTGCCCCACCCCACCACGATGCAGAGCCTGTCAATGGGCTGCACTTCCCCGTTAGCTCAAACTTAATTAGGGAAAAATAACAGCCATATGGTAATTCCAAGCCCAGGCAAAACAATGTCTGCGTGTTTGGGTCTGGCACACTCAAATATTTTCCTAGAGCATTAATTTTTAATTCTTACATCAGACCCGCATAAGCAAACATAAATAGGATTTTATGCTTTCCATAATCCATCCAGCTTGTGTTTGTTGTTACATACACTGAGCAATCGCTGCCTGCCACTACTTACAGAAGAGCTGATAATAAATATTAGGACACAAACTTACAAGTTAAATGAGATACAGTTAAGTAGTCGATTAAAAGGACACCCATAACCTCAGGTTACAAAACACTAAGTATTGCTGCTCTAATGTGCTTCTCTCAGTTATTTCGGGTGCTCACCTGCCAAATCCACCCCGGGAGGAGCAGAGAGGAGAGTCTGGAGTTGTTTGTGGCACAGATCAGGGCTGGGAGTGGGACGAGTGAGGAGAATTAGGCACAGGGATGCTCCTGCCCTGTGAGCCCGCTGCAGGGCCCTGCCCCAGCGGCGCTGCCAGGCAGGAATGTTGGCTCCAGCTGCCCGGGGCAGGTCACACCGGGAGGGACGGGCTGAGCTCGATGTGGGCTCGCAGGAGCGCCGCGATGTCCCCGTGGGCCAGCGACAGCGCCGAGTTGCCGCCCTGCAGGACACAGAGGTGTCAGAGTGAATCCCTGCCCCGTCCCCAAAGCTTCCCTCCCTCCCTCCATTCCTCCCTGCCTTACAGTGAGTCACCATCCCAAACCCCATCTGGGCCTCAACCACGCCAAACTCGGCCCAGCTGTGCCTCTGCCCGGCCCCGGTGCCCTCCTGCACGCCTCAGATAAAATTACAGTTTAATTAGAAAATAGTCCTGTAATTCCAAGCGCAGCCCTGTGGCCCGGCAGGAGGAATTTCCACCCGCTCCCATCCCCATGGAGAGGCTCCATTCTCAGGAGTTAATTGCTGCTCATTTCTTGGAGCTGAAGCTCCGCTAACTCCACGTGCCCAGGATTTCACCTGGGATTTTTTAGGATGACACCAATGCTCCTGCCCGGCCTATGGCTGTCACAGCCACCCCATCCAGCACCAAACCCAGGGGGTTTGGTTCAGAAAACGCACTGAAATCAGCACTTCTTCCCTCCAAGCCCAGCCCCGGGGGATTGCTGCCGGGCACACGGGATCCCGGCGGAGCGTGCCGCTGCCCCAGCCCAGCGGTGCTGCGAGCCCCACCTTGTCCGTCAGTGTCACCAGGCAGCCGGGCTGCGCCAGCAGCAGCCGGACGATGTCGGCGTTGCCCTGGCGACAGGCCACCATCAGCGCCGTGCTGCCCTCCTCGTCCTGCAGGTTGACATCGGCCTGGCAGGCCAGCAGGGCCCGCACCATGTCGTCCCTGTCGTGGCTGACCCCCAGCATCAGCGCGGTCTGGCCGCCCTGCAGGGGCACAGCTCGGGCTGAGCATCCCCTGCCCAGCGCCGCCCCCTGCCCTGCCCGCCCGCACTGCCGGGGGGAGCAGTAGGAATAATAGTAATAGTAATAGTAATAGTAATATATAATATATAATAATATATACTATATTATATAACATATATTATATATCATATGTTATATGTTATATACTATATATGTTATATGTTATATATTAATGATCTGATAATATTTTCAGTAATATAATAATAGTATAATATATAATAATTATTATTTTTATATAATGGTGTGTGTATATAATAATATATAATATTATTGTATATATAATAGTATAATATTATAATATAATAATATAATTATACTAATAGTTGTATAATGTGTAATTACCATTATTAATATATTATTATTATTATCATTACTACATACATAGAATAATTGAATCATTTAGATTGGCAAAGCTAAGACCACCAATTCCAACCATTAACCCAGCACTGCCAAGCCCACCACTAACCCACATCCCATAACCACAAACACAACATTGCCTATTATTATTGCATGGTTCATATATGATAATAAATCACATTAATACTGCATCCTGTTGCATGTTATTATCAAATCACCCTGGGGCTCCTCAGCGGGTGTTGTGAGAGGCACCTGTTCACTTGTGGAAGGTCCTTGCACCAGCATGGCCAAACTGCCCAGCTGCCCCCAAATGTGGGTTCCCCAAATCCTCCTGGGCAGTTTATTCACATCTGGACTAACTTTCACAGCAGTTTGGGAGCAGAGATGGGTGAGGGCACTCTCATCCCCAAACCAAAATGTGTGACTCTGATGAAGCCCACCAGCAAACCTGGCGCTCCCACGCCCTGGGGTTCAGCCCTCGCCGCTCCTTCCTGGCAGCACTTCTGATTTTTACCTCAGAAAAACCTGTTTGCAAAATTTCCAGCCTTTTTTTAGTTTCTCCATTTGCCCCAGCTGTCACACCCCTTCCCAGGGAGCTGCTGGCTGGCCACACTGCAACTCAGCTGAGGTTTCTTTGGGAACGTTTGGGAAGCAGCAGCTCCAACCCCGTACCTGCTGCCAAGCCCCAGCCTGGCGCTGCCACAGAAGACAAAGAACCCAAATTACTGCCCCAGCTGACTCCTGTCACACACCTGGGCAGCTCTCAGGTTGACATCCCCCTCCTTCAGCAGCCTCATCACCACCTCCATGTCCTGGCGGGTTTCGGGGGCCGCCAGCGGCGTCAGCATCACGGCCGTGTAGCCAGCACGGTTCTGCAGGTCCAGGCAGCACTTGCCTGCAGGGGATGGATCCAGCCCGTGGTGGATCACCCAGAGGGAACAGAAAGGAAAGAGGGAGTCATACAACGTGTGGCATCTTATATTTCCAGGAAAAGGAGTGATTCCATAATGATACAGGACGGGGATTTATCTGTTTTGAATATCCGGGCTCACAGCATTAAACAGCCCCTGGTGCTACAGTTAATTACAACTGTTGAGGTCAACTCAATTAACTTTGAAGACCACAACACATAGAAATTAAAGGGGGATAATTAATGCCTCAAGCACATGCTGGTTGGAGCTGTGGGCTGTTTGCTTTGGCTCCCGTGGCAAGGGAGCAGCAGAGAGACACCCATCACCCAACGGGTTTGGAAAACATCCTGGCCCGGTTTCACTCATTTTTCACTTCAAAGAGCCCATTTCCAGCTCCTCCACGAGGAATGAGTGTCTGAGGGTGAGGGCTCGGGTCCAGCCTCGCCCTGAGGAAGCAGCTGGCTCAAACCCTTCCCTCCCCGCGCCTCTGCGGCAACAATCGGGTTATAGATGTGTATGATAATCTGCCATTTCCCAAACATTTCATGGATTGTCCAGCCCATGAGAAAAGGCCAAAGTGCCTCTGTTCTCTCGGAGCACGAGCACATTTTTGCCCTGTACAAGCTCAGCTGAGATTTTTGTTCTTTCATTGCAACACAAGCTGAAAGTTCAATAGTTTAACATGGGAGTTTTTCTGCAGTGCTGGGCGTTTCTTACGCTCTCAGGGATCTGATCCTCCTGCCCCAAGCCATGATGTGGCTTTGGCTGCTGCAAGAAGCTGGGGAGCCAACGCATGGGGCCATGAGGGACATCCCTTTGGATCCAGCAACCCTGAGCCATCCCAAAGTCAGGCTGCAAAGGCCCCAAGATGTGTGAGGGCACTAATGAGCCTTCATGTCCCTGAGGAGCCCCAGCTGGGACCCCCAACTACATCCATGGGCCCAGAGCCGAGCTATGGGGGAGGATGTTGGTCTTGAGGTCAGCCAGGTCTCCTGGATGGACCTCAGCCCTATCCTGGTACTTTGGATGGATCTTGGAGCCCTTTTTTCCCCCTGGATGGACCTTGCCTTCATGTGTGTCTCCTGAAGGGGGCCCTTGCAGGTAGGTGGCTCTTGCAGGTAGGTGGCCCCACCTCTGTCCCACCTCCTTTAGCTCCTGGGAGGACCCTGCACCTCCTTCAGGGTTTGCCATGTCCCCCCATTCCCTGTGCAGCCACCCCTCATGGGACCACAACCCCATGGCAAGAGCCACTGCCACCCCCTGCCCAGCAGGAGCCCTGGCTGAGCAGAGTGGCCGTTCCTACCCGTGTCCAGCAGGAGCTTTGCAACCTGGAAGTTGGAGTGGGACACGCTGTAGTGGAGAGCTGTGTTGCCATTCCTGTCAGGCAGGTTCACCACGGTCTCCAGGAGCTGGGGCTGGATGTCCCCCAGCGCCTCCAGGTACGCTGCCACCACCTCCGGCCTGGAAGCCTTGTGGCTGGACACCTGGAACCACTCCTGGGAGACGGAGCCGAGGACGTGCTGCTGCAAACACCAACGGGTCACTGTCACTGTCACTGTCCCTGCAGAGGAGTGGCTGCCCCAGCTCCTGGCCCCACCCAGCCAGCACTCAGCTTGTGGGTTTGTGATTGCTGCTACAGCTTGAGGGGGAAAGGAATTTCCTGTGGTAACTTGGATGAGTAACCAGACAAAGCCTTCATCTTCCTTTCCCCCCCCTCCCACCCCCTTCCTTTCTTTTTGGCTGCTGTAGAACTGACTCAGATGTCACCTCACCCCCCCTCCTCACAAAGCTGTCCAGAGCACAGCCTGCAATGTGCCACAGGGATAATCTCATCCATTAAAGTGAACAGAGAGCATGAACCGTGTCTGAAACGGGACTGGGAAATATCTGTACCAGATGCTTGTTGCTTCTGCTCCTGATTTCTGGGAGGTGTTCACTGAGGAGCTGGCAGGCAGCAAGGAAATCTTCAGAGGGTTTGCATCTAAAGGGAAAAGACTTTTGTAAATCCACCATGGACTTGCAGGAGATACTGAACCAAGCAGGAGAACACAGTCAGATTAGGTTGGAATATGTTCAACACATTTAAGTGTTTAAATTATTGGACACAAGTTGTCCCATTGACTTGACACAAATGTTAGGTACAAAGCTAAGCACTTCAGCAGAGTTTTAAGCCCAGAGCCACAGATTTATGTGGTTGATTTCACCTATTACAAAAATCCTTACGGTGGGGGAAAAAAAAATCTTATTCCTGAACCTGCAAAGAACTTTACCAAAAAACTTTCCATGAGAGGGGAGAAATGAGCTAACTCACCAGACATGACTCAGTGTAGGGCTTGAATCAATCCCCATTAGATTCTGTAGTAACTCAGAAAATATGTAGCTCTTTAAAGCCTTTTCCCTTTCCTGCAGAGGTCACCACTGCTGTTCCACCAGAAGAAGCCCCGAGCCAGCCCTGCAGTGCCACATCCTGTGGCCACCACAGCTCGGCCACCACCCGTGTCCTGGTTACCTGTGAGCCTGGTGCTGAGAGCAGGGTGCTGCTCCTGCTGATGCCTCCTGCTCATCATCATCATCATCCTCACGCCTCTCCCCTGAGGAAGCCCCTCTGCTTTCCCTTCCAGCCTGCTCGGGCTCCGCGTCCCCGGCTCTGCCCTCGGCCTCGGTCTCGGTGTCGCCGTCCGACGCGCTGTCCTCACAGCTGGTGTCTTCTTCACTTGACGTTGTCTCGTAGCTATTTGAGGACACCAGAGGTTACTCCCTCCTTCCCCAGGCGCAGCCACGGGGCCTGACCAAGGCTCATTGCCCCCAATGGGCCTTGGGTGAAGCCCAGAGTGACAAGCAGCAAGTTAAAAGGTCTGAGCCACAGCCGAAGTCGGGGTTAGTCTTTGTTTGGCTCCTTAAGCAGCAGGAGTGTGACAGAAGCAGTTAATGAGCAGCAGGCAAGGTTACTTCAGGGTTTTGGAGGGATGTCCATCACACACAGCCTGGGCAGGAGCTGCCTCCCTGCTGGGAGCTGCTGGCACGGTGGCAGGGTGACAGCAGCACGGCCCCCGTGGCAAGGAGGGACTGGTGGCATCGGCAGCCTCGAGGAGCACGAGACAAAAGCTGTGTCTGCACGGCTTTTGGGCTGAAGTCTTTTGGGCTGAATCCACCATTCCAGCAGCCCTGATGGAGATCTCTCCTCTGGTTGTCTAAAAGCATTAATATTAATAATGTCTTCCACAAAACAGAACGTTCGCTCTGATGGACCCCAGAACTTTCCTCAAAGTAACCAAGACTCCTCCAGTCCCTACAAGTTGTACCCACTTGGCAGAACCCAGCAAGTGGGAAGTCAGGGGAGCAGGATGTGAGCAGAAAGCAGCACCCAGGCTGGCACACACAGCTGTCTGCCCAGCCCAGGGACAGTGACACGTGTCCTGCACTCTTCATGCCAGCACACATTCACCCCAGCAGGAGGTGCTGCCTCTGCCCAGCTCACAGGCCGAGGAGTGTTGGACACTGGACACACCTGGAAAGGGGAGCACAACCCAAAGTTTCCTTCACCCCAAGGTAATTCCTCATCTACCAAAAAAGTCTTTTCCCAGGCCCTGAACCAAGTGCTGCTGGCTTTGCTGGAGCGTGGGGGCAGGTTAGTGGCAGCGTGCTCACCCAGGCAGTGCTGGCCTCCTCCAAAATCCACCAAGGTCAGTGGGAATCTTCCCAGGGAATCTTCCCATGGGATATCCCCAGCTGGGTTTTGGATGAAGCCCCAGGAGAAGGGTGTGCAGGGTGTCAGTCCCCAGCGTGTCCCCGCTGCTCTGAGCACACCACGGCCCTTCCTTAACGGGGTTACTCACGGGTTATCAGTGCTGGGTTAAAGAAGGGAGAAAAGAGGCTCTACTTCAACTGGCCTTTTAATCAGGAGGGGAAAAGAGGGGGAGAAAGAATGACTTCTCCAGCCATACAGAGGACATTCCACGTTAAAAGGCAGTTTTTGTCTTCTGAATGGATGCTTACCCACCATTTACCCCAACAAACTGGAGATTCTTTTTGGTCCCATTGCCTCCTGCATGGAAACCATAACCTTTCTTTTTCATGATGGATTTAAGACTTGTGGTTGGAGAGTTTTCTACCAAAATACAAAATAATAGATTAATTAAGCAGATGTGCCATAATTAGCAATAATTATTCCCAACCTCTACCTCTAGCAATCATAATTGTAAGCATCTTATTTCATAAATACAAAATAATAGATTAATTAAGCAGATGTGCCATAATTAGCAATAATTATTCCCAACCTCTAGCAACAAGCTACAAATCATAATTGTAAGCATCTTACTTCACCTTATGAGAGTCTTTTGATGTCTTGCAAAATTACAGATGCAGCTGGCCACAACCTGAACCTGCCCTGCCACCTTTAATAAGGTCTCAAACATCTCCAGGTGACTGGGAATATAAAGGAAGTGACTGGGAATTATGTATTTGTCCTATGAATATAAGTAGATGTTACTTTTGTAATACTGTTTTGGTTTTTGGGGTTTTTTTTCCCCACTAGCAATGTACTGGAAAATTCCTACATAAATCTGCTATAATACTACATGGATGAGTTTTTCCATTGGAATTTGAATAGTGTATATATATTAAGGAATAAGTCACTTATCTATTTGCAAGTCCCCTCCCTCCCCCAGAGAACAGGCATTGGATTCCCATCTTCATATAAACTAAAATTATTTTAGATGAAGGTCTGTGAGTGGGGACAGGTCTTTTCCCAGCCTGGTCGCTCAGTTAGTTTGACTGGTTTGGGTTCTGGAGAACTCCAAACTTCATTTACCCCAGATGAGCACCAGCCTCATATTCTTGCAAACTGAGATGTCCAATCCAAATAAAAAGAATGTTTATTTGATGGAACAGCCACCAGTGTGGCAGCTTTTGGAAGCTGATCCTGCATATAAATGAGCCACTGCTTTACGAGCTCCTACATCATTTTGTTTGATGTCAGATCCATAACTTGTGCCGTGCAGACATTTGCCTTTCTCATCATGCTTTGTCGAGACCATTCCTGATCTGACTGACAACAACTGTTCCACCACATCCCCCCCTGCTCCACGCTGGAATAAATGGGAAAAGATTTGGCCCGGACACATCGAAGCCTATGCCAATATTATTTACCCAACTGTTGATAGTGCGTGTTGGAATTCTCCTTATCCACGGGCCCTTGCGAGGAGTAGGCAGAGAGCAGGGAGTTTAGGGAATTAACTAACTGGTTCTGGATGGAGCTGAGCTTGGAGGCCGGCTGTTTGATAGCGCTGGCCAGCTCGGGGTACCCGTGCTCCAAGCACAGCCACTGCTCCTGCAGGAGCTCCTGGATCTTTTTTACATATTGGCCAATGGGGTCAACAGCCGGCAGGTCCTCGTGGCCAGGGGCACCTTCTTCTTGCAGCCCTTCCCGAGGGTTATCTTCTCCAAAGCCCGCCTTGCTTTGGGCTGCGTTTGGGCCGAGGGAGTCCTGGTGGTTCTGGTTGTCGTCGCCGGGGTGCTCGTGGATCTGCAGCCGGGTGAAGCCCGGAGCAGCAGGCCCAGCCTCCATGCTGGCCTCACCAGAACGTCCCCGTGCTCGAGCAGCTGCCGGCCCCGGCTCCCTGCACGCCCCCACGGCCTGCGCGCTGCTGTTCTCTTCCCGGTGGGAGCCGCAGCCGATGGATCTGGTGGAGAGTGGGATGTTGACGTTGATGCCTTTGTCCTGGGCCTGCCTGAGCGCTGTCACCTGGGAGAGCTCGGTGTTCACCGCAGCGTCCAGGCGCTGCAAGGCCCCGCTGCCCCGCCGCCTCCGCAGCTCAGCCTCTCTGCACTTCTCCTGCCACAGCTGCTCTTCCAGCTGAGCTCTGGAGCTGGCCAGCAGCTTAATGCTTTTCTCCTTCTCCTGGATCTCATGATCCTGCTGCTCCAGCACTGCCCTGACCTGCTCGAGCTCCTCTTTCTTCTTGGCCAGCTGCTCCTCCAGGTCAGCGACCTGCTGCTTCAGCGCCGTGACCCCGCCGGGCTCTCCGTGGTCAGGAGCCTGCGGAACACCGCTCTCCTCGTCCCCTCCAGCGCGGACGTTCCTCTCCTCACCTTCCTTCAGCACCTTCAGATCCACCTCACTCACACTTAGCCCCCTTTCCGCAGGGTTCCCGTTCTCCTCTGCCAGCCGGAGGGCAGCCGGCGCCGCTGCCTCACCCCTGGCCACGTCGGAGCCATCGGCGGCATCGCCCTCCTCACCGCGGCTCTCCATCACCACCTGCAGCTGCTGGCTCTGCCAGGGGGCCTGCAGGGGCACAGCCCCGCGGGGCTCCATCTCCCGCGGCGGGGTTAGGCCGCTGCTGTCCGAGCCGGGAAGGGAGGCGCTTTCGGAGCCGTGGCCGTGCTGCGGAGGGCTCCGGAGCGGCGGGGGTCCCGCCGGGGGGCTGTGGCCGGGGGGCAGCGCCTCGGGCATGCTGGAGGCCCGCAGCAGCTGCGGCCGCGCCCTCAGCGCGTCCTGCGGCCGGCCCAGCTCCGCCTGCCGCCGCGTCTCCGCCAGCAGCGCCTTCCTCCGGTAGCTCGGCTCCTCGGGAGCTGCCTCGGCCGGCAGCAGGGCCCGGGGGGGCTCTTCCCCCAGGGATGCCTTTCGCTGCGGGAAGGAGCAGGTGGAGGTCCAGCTCTTGCTGGGAGCGGCGCTGGAGCAGCCGCGGGAGCCGCTCTCGGGCAGGCTGAAGTTTCGGGGCAGGGTGCTGAATTTGGGCTGCTTGGCTCTGCGGTGGATGTGGACCCTCCTGATGGTGTTGCCTTTCTCGATGTCGTCCACGTACTTCAGGAAGTCCAGGTCCAAGTGGAAGCCGTAGGGTGTCTCCAGGGAGTAGGGGAGGCTGCGGGGCTGCTCCCTGTCCCCGTCGGGTTTGGGTGGCTGGCCATCTGCTGGAACATCCCCCCAAAAAAAGAAGAAATTATCGAATTTTGAAAAAAAAATTGTGTAGAGCAGGGGGGAGATGTTTTTTCTCTTTTCATCTCAGTTTTGGGCAGGCAGGGGCTGCAGCTCATTATCGTGGTGAAGCTGTGCAGACACACAGTGACACGCACCAAGCTCTGATCTGGTGCATCAGGTAATTGTTGCACTGAGGAAGCCAAAAATTTCCTGAAATCATGGCTCTAATTGGCAATTAAGCAAACAGCAGGTTTTGCAGGCAGAGCTGCGTGTCTGTGTAGGTACAGAGAGCTGCCTGGTGGATAATAAATCCAGCTCAATAACAGAATGTGGGATCAGTCTGTGACAATGACATTCTTCAAGGCTTTGGTTTTTTTTGGTTTGGTTCGAACTTTTCAGTGGCATAAGCAGTGCACACCGAGCAGGAAAATCATTGCCTCGCTTCACCTGCAACCACCAGGTCACAAATTATTCCTTGAAAATGACAGATCTGGGCAGAGGCTGCTGCTCAGAGCCGCAGCCATGCAGAACACACATCCCAAGGTGACCGGCTCAGCTCCCAGCACAGCTCCTAATTGAGGCAAATCACCACTAAATGGGTGTCACTGTGTTTGCCCACCCAGCCAGCACAGGCAAACAACAGCTCTCCGCCAGTCTCCCACTTTAACACAGCCTGCAAACAAATTCACAGCCCCCAGATTTCCACCTTGAGGGGTAACAGTTAAATTTCTGCACTTTCCTTTCTGCAGGAAGTCCCTGGAACCACAGTGGTTTGGGCTGCTCTGCAGCTCTGAGCAAATGAGTTGCTGAGGTGCTGCCTGGGTGGGAAGCAGCAGGTGGAAGTCAGAGGAAGGACAGAGGGAAGACACCTCTGGGGTCATCCCAGGGCACAGGAGCACAGCTGGAGGGTGGGAGCAGGGATCTGTCACAGAGCATGGGAGGACAAATATGTGCTGATCTAGAGCTGGGACCTGCTTTGCTGTGGTTTTTAAGAAATCAGCATGATAATGAACGATGGATTATTCACCTCTTGGCCCCACATCTACAGAACAGGTTATTTACAGCATTTCTGGTAAGGAAATTACTCCAGGGCTTGGTTGGGTTTTTTTTTTTCAAGGAATAAATGAACAAAAAAACATTCTGTAGGCTCCATACCTTCTGTCTTCTCCATGGTGGGGTCTAACTGGGCTGTCACTTAAGCATCTTCTGACAAGGGCTGAGGAGTCGCTTCACCCTTGAAAAAAGAAATGGATACTTCTAATTTCATAAAATAACACACTCAGCCATGTGAACTTCTCTCTTCATCTCTCCTTAAAACCTTACAAGCCTTCAAAGGCCACCCCCCTCCCACTTCCCATCTTCTGCAGCCCAGTGGTGTCCAAGGGCTTTGAAGCTGCTAAAACCAATAGCTCCTTTTCCAGAGGCAACAACTTGTGCTTGACAGACACATCCCAGGGAGCTGGTCCTTGTCAAACACCCCCTGCATCACAGAGGGTTTGACTGCCAGCGAGGACAGACAGACATTTGGGATGACTTGGGATCGATGGCACAGGGACTCTCCACTGACTCCTGTGAGCTGAGATATCCAACGTGATAAAAGCTCCCTGACAACAGGGATACAAACTACACACAGAAATGACTGGTTTGCCTTTTTTTTTAAACCCATAACAAGCAAAGATTCAAAATTTATGTTGACTCTCATTCTAATGACAGCCATTACTTCAGAGCACGTCCCTACTGTTAAAAAGAACCTTCACCAAATTGCACTGAACCACAGACAAATTGCTTTTGGCTCGGGGAACAACTTCAGGTGGAGATCTACCACAGCCAAAACTGAGATCTTCACATCATTTCTGGGCTGTGTTGCCAGAAATGGTAACACATTTCCAGCTCCTTCCCATCACGTGGGCACGGACGAGACCCTCCTGGAGCATGAGAAATGAAGGCTGGGAACGACCAAGAAAGGTCCTGGGTGAAACTTCTCAGCTCCAGATCCTTCAGGAAGGCACAGGGAGGAGCAGGGAAGGGTGAAGGAGGTTGGGGCAGCTGGACATCACAGTAGGAGGCTCCCTGGCTTGTGTGAGAGGGACAACAACGCTCCAAGAGAGAAGGTCTGGTTTTGATTTCTGCTGCAGAGGATGACGTGGGAGTTTCCTGAACAGTAGGTTGTTTGTTTATGACTCTCCTTACAGTATCTAGTTTGGTTCCTGGCCAGAGGCGGCCCCACAGCTGCTTGGAAGTCCATCCCTGCTCCTCCAGTGCATCCCTGAGCTATGCAATATTCTCAGGGCAGGACCAAGCGGAGCAAAGCCTGTGCTGAGCCAGCCCCAGCTCACACCCATCTCATGGACCAAAACACCAGAGTCTGAACTCATTTTCTGCGTGCAGAGCTTTGCCTCAGCGAGGGCTTTAGCTCCTGACCACAGCTCCAGAGCTCCCCAGGAAGGGGCTCCAGCTGACCTTTACCAAAGACCAGCTAAAAAATGGAGTCGAATCCTGCTGTATTGTTACCAGAGGACATTGCCACATCCCTGGAAGCATCCAAGGCCAGCTTGGACAGGGCTCTGAGCAGCCTGGGATGGTGGAAGGTGTCCCTGCCCATGGAATGAGATGATCTTCAAGTTCCCTTCCAACCCAAGCCATTCTGTGATTCTATAACAAATACTTTGGAAGATCAAAACCTTTTATAGAAACAATCACTTGTCAATCACATGGGCATGTTTATGGTCAATGCAGAGCCTTGATGGGAAGTCAGGAAGGTCCCAGCCCACGGAGAACATCAAAGCTCTCCAAAGCTCCAGCAGGGTCACCTGGTTGATGCCCACCCAGCACCCTGTGAGCTCCTGGAAAGCTCCTCAAGTGCTCTCCAATCAACCACACTCCTTCTACAGAGGACAACTCCTTCTGTCTCCTCCTGCCAGTGAACAGCACGTGCCAAAACAAACACCCACCTCTTTCTCAAATGTTGTTTCTTTCCCTTAATTTTCCAACTGCAGCCAATTCCAGCCTGACCAGCTACACTCCACTCTTCTAGGTCATTTATTCAGAAAGTTGCGGGGGGGGGAAGCCAGTGAAGAGGATGGTTTTTAATATCTAGATAATTACATTTGGATCATTTATGAGCTGGCTGGGTCCCAACTCTGCAGCCCAAATTGATACTACGACTACTCTCCTTTGACCAATCTACTTCAAAATCGCCTCGTAAAAGGATGCTGAATGTTCCCAACCAGCTTGCTGATGCTCTCCTGTCCCCTCCGGGGCAGCTCAGGCATGGAGAAGATGGCTTAGAGCCAAAAATGTGCCTCTTTGGACCCCACAGCTGCTCTCCCATGCCTGTCCCTAAGAAAAATGAGATTAAAATATGAAGTCATCTGCCAGAAGTAGCAGACCCCTACACCCAGAGTCCATAATTTGAGGCAGGGTAACAGTTTTAGGTGCCTCTGCATCCTGCTAAAACCTGTTAGCCTGACCCTCTGCCAGGTTCTATACTTGCTGAGTTTTCTCTATTAAATGAAATTGAAGAACATTTCTTTTTCTCCCCATGCATCGCTGATTCTTACCTTTGCTGCACAGGGAGGATTAATCCAGATTGGAATTAGAAAGTTTTTCTCAAGGCAGGAATAAATACATAGAGAAATGGAAACGGAGAAGCCAAATATGTGAGAAGGCAACAGAGCGAAGTGGTTTTATTCCCGGGGGCAGCCCGTTTGCAGGGACAATGTACTGTCTTTTTAACCAGCCTGGACTCAAGCACTGGCTCTTTACACTCACATTTAACCCCTCTTTCACTCCATCTTGCCAGGCAATGTGAGCAGCTCCCCCATCCACCCCAGCCAGCAGAAGGGAGAGCACCATGACATCCCCAAACATTTAAATAACAAATTAACTCAACCACGTACCACAAATACCCACAAAATCCATTCTCACAGAGTGTCTTGCTAGTAATTTTAACTGGGAAACAGTTAACCCTGAGCCTACAAATAACACGATAACCCACCAGCATTTAGCACAGTCTTGTCAGCTGTAACACAACATGATCTGAGCTCTGCCTGTCTGCCCTCCTGCACTGCAGCAGCGGCTCCAGCACTTCGTGATGGAAGGAAAAACTGGTTAGCAAAGCATTTTGTCAGGTTACCTGCTCAGGCTGGCACCCACAAACCCCCCGGGCAGCAGCAGCTCTTGCCTCCCTCCAAAGCATCTTCTCCCAGGGAAGGGCTCGGAGCAGCGACCGCGGCGTGGCTGGAGCCCAGCCTGCTCCAGCAGTCACAAACTTGGTCAGCTGAGCTGTGACCTTGCTCAGAAAGCAAATACAAGTTTAAACCAAGAAGCACAAAAGAGGGATTGATTTTCCAACAGAGCAGCCCACGGCTCTCGGATGACCTTTGCGAGGACAGTTCAATCCCGGTGCATAAAACGAGTTACTTTTCCACGGAATAGTTCTTTTTCCCAGAAAACACAGAGCACCAAGCGTTGCCCGGGCTGTCGAGGGGGGTGCTGCCTTATCAGGGCTGATAATTGAAGAGAGAGTCAATAATTAACGGCGGCGTTGCTGCTGTACCTGATGCTGCAGCTGCAGCCCTCCGCATGCTGCACCTCCGGGCTGGAGCATTAGCAATTCCACCAGCGCTCTCCCGAGGAAACGCAGCCGGCTGCCGCGGCTCGGGAAGCTGCGGAAGGGCTCAGTGTCCCCAAATCCTCCGGCAGAGCCGCGTTCCCACGTGTGGAGCAGGCACAGCCCCTTGTCCCGTGCCCATCCATCCGCAGCCCGCCGGGAGATGCCGGACGGGACGGGCGGCACGGGCAGGGGGTGTCCCGGTGTCCCGGGATTCCCGGGGGGGACAGTGGCACTCTCCGTAACAAATCTCCAGCCCTCGGCTCTGGGGTTATCCATCCGAACTTCCAGCTGGCAGCGGGCGAGGCAGGGGTCAGCTGGCAGAGCAGACACTGGAACAGGCTGCCCGGAGAAGCTGGGGCTGCCCCTGGATCCCTGGAAGTGTCCCAGGCCAGGTTGGATGGGGCTTGGAGCAACCTGGGACAGTGGGAAGTGTCCCTGCCAATGGCAGGGGTGGGACTGAAGGAGCCTGAAGGTCCCTCCCAACCCAAACCAGTCTGGGATTCTGTGATTTTGGGCAGGGCGGCTCAGAGATGGGCAGAGTGCCTGTCCCAAGCCCGTCCTGAACTCCTGCATTGGCATTCCCCTCGGGCATCCTGGATTGCTGCCCCTCCAGGCTGGCAGCAGGGACAAATCCCTCTCTCTCTGCACTGAACTTGCAACAGCCTCACGCTTGCAGAGGCGTTCAGGGCTGCAAAACTCTTCCAGGGCTGGGAAAGAAAATCCTGGGAAGCGAAGGCATCCCCTGGGAGCTGGGGGCTCTGCTGGGGGCTCTCACCAGGCAGTGCCAGCAGCTTTCCCATGGCCCAAGGAGCAGCACGACCCGAGTCTCATGCTAGGGAGGAAAAGCACATCTTGCCTCTGTGTGAGAGCAGAGCTGCTGGCGCTGCTCCAGCTCCCCGCAACCCCAAACGGGACTTTAACACATGAGCTTTGAAGAAAAGCAGACAAGCTCTGCCTTCGCAGGAAGCACAGTATCTGGACGCACAGAGAACCAGCAGCGTTTGTCCCTCTGCCAGCGGCACGGATGGGTTAAACTTCCTACCCGAGGAATGAAAAATCATCTCAACGCCGCCTTTCCCAAAGGCTGCCTTTCCCAAAGGCCCTTTCCCACGCGGCTCCATCCCACACCACGCTCGGCAGCCGTGGCTTTCTGCTTTCACAAGCAACTGCTGAGCCTGAGGTTCAAAACCAACTCCAGAGCACGCTGGCTCGCTTTCTGCTGAATTCCTCTGCTTTAGCTACGCTCGTGTGTCTTTTCTGAGCACACTCTGCCGCTTGTGTTCTCCAGGCAAAGCAGCACCACGGGAAAAATGCACATATTTCTATACATATATTTCTATACGTGTATATATCTCTGATTTTAAAGTCGTTCTGAAAGAACTGTTCGGTTTTTCCACTGGACAGACCTAGCAGGAAGCTTTAATTTGGAGCATTTCCTCACTGCAATTACCCACATATGACCTACAGTTGTTCCCACATTTAATCCCTCTGGAACTGAAGAAGTCTGTGACCCCTTAAATAAGCTTTTAATCGGGAGCTACGAAGGGAAAGAGTCAAAACACGCAAATTAATTAATTATGGGCTGGCGCTTGATGGATTTACATCCAGCCTCTGATAGCTTTGCCCCAAGGGGGGTGTGCAGGGTGGGAAGTGGGGAAGGGGCTCACCAAGACTGTCCCCAAGCAGGAGAGCTGAGGTCATGGCCTGGAACTGCTGCTGCTCCACATCAGGGGCATCACCGCAGCTGCCGGGGGGTTTGCTCTGCTGAGAGGAACCAGACGGCTCTGAAGTGGCTCAGGAGCCATCCCTTCCACCCCCCCGGGCACCACTGCTGCCTCCCTGGCTGCTGGCAGGGCTGCTGCCCTCCCCTCCCCACAGAGAATCCCTGTGGGATGGCAGCTTTGGGCTTCACTTCCCCACCACGGGTCCGTTCAGGTGGGACGGGACAACTGAGATCATCCAGGGACACCTCCCTGCTCCAGCAGGGTCACCCCAGAGCATCCTACTCAGGAATATGTCCAGACAGGTCTGGAATATCCCCAGTGAGGGAGACTCCACAGCCTCTCTGGACAATCTGCCCAAGGCTCGGTCACTGCCCAGGGAAGAAGTTCTGCCCCACGTCCAGGTGGAAATTCCCAGGCATCATTTTCTGCCCATTCCTCCTGTGCCATTGCTGGGCACCACTGAGCAGGGCCTGGCTTGTCCATCTGACAACTCCCTCTGGATACCCATGGATGGGGTCCCTTCTCAGTCATCTCTTTTTGAGACTGAGCAGGGCCAACTCTCTGTGCCTCCAGGCCCTTCCTCATCTCCACAGCCTCCACTCCAGGAGCTCCATGTCCCTCTCGTCCCGAGGAGCCCAGAGCTGGACACAGCACTCCAGATGTGCCTCTCAGAGCCGAGCAGAGAGGCAGGATCACCTCAGGGTGACCCACAGACAGAGCTGGCCCTCGGCACCCAAAGGGTTACACCCAAACCTGCTCCATCCGGGCGGTCTGGATTGCACAACAACCCGGCTGCAAATGGACATACCAGGAATAAAAATGGCCTCTCGGGGAATATTTGTTGTAGGGATTTTTTAATTCTGTTTTCACTGCAAAGGAAGAAAAATAACCCACTTCCAGTCTGCTGGGGACATGCACACGGGTGGGATCTCTGCTGTGATCCTCTGCCCGCTGGCACAGCCGCGGGAAGGAGTTTCCCTCCAGGAGGAAAAAAAAAAGAGGTTTGAAAACTTTGTGGGATTAAACAAATACCTAGCTAAATAAAAGCAGTTTAAAGTCCTGGTTTGCACTGCAAGGAGCTGTCATGAGGTTTCCCAAGGTGAGAGCAAACAGGGTTGCTGCTGGATGAGGTCTGAATCCTGGGAGCCACCAGCCACCTTCCCACGTGTGTCTGGCATCACAAAGTCACCACTGCCAGTGGTCCTGTGCCCCAGAGCATCCCTTGGAACGGCAGCTTGAGGGGGCAGAAGGCAGCTGAGCAGACCCAGAATCAAAGTGGGGAGACCAGACAATGCCTGAGCCACTGCTACAAAGCCAACAGCACCCAGGAGGGAACGTTCCCAAGCTGGATCCATCCCAGCCTGCAGGCACACCACACGTGCTGGGCAGGCTTCCCTCTGCGCTGAGGCAGAGCAGGACTGGATTTAGGATGCAAAATCTGTTACTTATGGGAAGAGCCTTCATCCTGAGACCAGTGGATGGTTTCAGCACATGGCTGATGACAACAGCACCTTACTGCACCCCAGGAGGAACCTCCCTTGGCTGCTGCCTGCCCAGGGCATCTCCAGAGCAGAGCCGGGAGCTGGAAGCAATTTGGGAATGCTGGAGAGGGACGAGCTCTCTCTGCAACCCATCAGCTCGTGGCTGATGATGGAGAGGTCCAGGCTGGCCTCCCACCCTCTCTGCACAAAAAGCAGCAGAGGAGGAGCGGCTGGGGCTGGAGCTGGGGGCTGTGCACATGGAAAACATCCTGGAGGCGTCTGGGGCCTCCCCGGGGTTTGAACCAGAGGCTTCACAAGGAAGCTGAATAATGATCCCGGCACCGCTCCATAAAGGAGAGGATCTCTTTCAGCAACCCCCGGGTGTGCAACCCTGGGTACTTAAACAGCCATTTCAGGCCCCTTTCCTTCCCAGTGTCTGTAATAAAGCTGTGTGGATTCTGATTTTATTAAAGCTGCTCGTTGCTGTCTAATAAATGTTATGAGCTTCCTGCCAGCATTTCCATTAGAGACGGGTCAGACCTGGAGGTATCAGATATCCAAACTCTCTCCCTCTTTTCTGGCTTACCAGGAGGGGAAAATGATCACATTCACCCCCTCCTCTGATAACCTCTTTTCTGACTGACCTTCAGCTCATTCCAGCCACAGACTCACAAAAGCCTTGGTCGATTCTTGTGATTTTATCCCGTGCCTTGAAAACTGTGGTGTTTTCCCTAAAGTCTTCTCTCCCAGAGCCAGGTGAGCACAAAAAAGCACCCAAAGCCCTGAAACAAAAGTGCTCCATAGTCAGAAGGCAGACAGAAATCTGGGGTGCCTCGTTTCTAATGTTTACTCTCTTTGCCTCAATCCCACAAGTTTTGAGGGAAAACAATGAGGTCCTGCTATGGCTTTTGGTCTCTTCCAAGCTGCTGGTTTCTTCCTCCCTGACCTTGGACAAGCCAAGCTTTGCTGCCACTGATACTGAATAACTCCCACGTGGTCAAAGTGGGAAATTTTCGGTGCTTTTAGGAAAACCCTACTGTCTGCATTTCTCTGCTCCTCCCTGGGCAGCCACCGCAATCCCCCACGGAGACACGGAGCCATTTCCCATCGATTTCTGACCCCAGCCAACGAGAGTCGCATTGATCACACTCCTGACAAGTTCAAAAACCTCTTCACACAGGAACATTTCTTTTTCAGGACACCTGAAACCACTCTCCCCATTGACTGGGGCTGCAGAGAGGGAGGATGTGCCGCCTTCCTCCTCTGCTGGTGATTTCTGTGTGGATAACGGGAGCTGGGAGCCCTGGAGCAGCACTTCCCACCTCTCACCCATTTAGGAAATGGGGATTTTCCTCCAGGTTTTTGACCAAGCCTCAGCCCTTCACCACATATTGCTGGTGCAGTTTCTGCTTTCTCACTTACACCACATTCAACCCTGATGGGCAGAGGAACCGGCTGCAAAGATGAATTTGGGATATTCTCACTTTGAAGATGGAGACCTCTGTGTCTGGG